AAAGGTTCCTGCTTATGTACATGAGGGTAAGAGTGTAGATTTAGTGTATCTGGATTTTCAGAAAGCATTTGACAAGGTGCTACATAAAAGGTTTGTAAAAAGAATTAGCTCTATAGGTGTGGTAGATAAGTTAGCTAATTGGATAGAAGAGTGGCTGGATGGAAGAAAGCAGAGGATTGTTACAAATGGAGTTTAGTCAAACTATATTAATTGTAAAGGGAATTGATAGTGTTAATGTATCATCTTTTTTATATTTAACAATGACAATAGTAGGACTAGGGGACACAAATATAAATTTTGGCAAGATAGGAGTCATCTTCAGCTAAGACAGACATTTTTCTAACAGGGTGGTTGGCCTTTGGAATGGGTTACCTTTGGATGTTGTAAAGGCACTAAATTTAAGTGAGTTTAAGAAAATACTTTATAAGTATATGAATGATAAGCGCTGGCTTTAAGATTTTTTAAATGTAGTTCAAAGGATGGACCAATAGGTCACAAACGATTATGTTAAATAAAGGTACTCTCCTCACCACAAGAACACGACTTTCAGTAGGAGTGTACTTGAGGGCTTGATTACATCTTTATTGATGTAATTTGTATATACAGTACTAAAAAAAAAAAAGACTTCTATACATTGAATCATTTTGGTGCAGTGAGTTGCATATAACTAAAGAGCATTTCTCCCATACAGTAAACAAAAACCCAGAAAACAAAAATACATTCTTTCGGTAAGAATACTACGATTAGTGCCCGGCACGGCCAGGTTGGTAGGACGCTCGACTCGCAAGCTGCGGGTCACGGGCTCGCATCCCCATCCCACCAAACATGCTCGCCCTTTTAGCCATGGGGGCATTATAATGTGACGGTCAATCCCACTATTCGTTGGTAAAAGAGTAGCCCAAGAGTTGGCGGTGGGTGGTGATGATTAGTCTTACACTGCTAAATTAGGGGATGGTTGGCGTCAGGAAGGGCATCCGGCCGTAAAAAACCCTGCCAACACCAAAAATAGCGACCCCGTATAGATACGGGAAAAAGCTACAGAAGAAGAAGAATACTAGATCAGTAATTACTAGGACAAACTAGCGAAAGTACCAAGCTTCACTCAGGTTATTAAGTTGAAATGTTTTAGATGATAGTCAGTGTGTGTGTGCATATATATATTCTGCACTTATTTTAACATCCCACAGGAGGACAGTCTTCAACTCAGAGCTTCTTTTGGTGTATGCTAATGAATCGCAACCTTTTCATTTCAATTTTGGCATACATTACAATTGTGTGTGTGTGTGTGTGTGTGTGTGTGTGTG